GAGGACATCCTGCTGACCCTGCTGGAGGGTGTCCATGACAGGGAACCCCGCTTCCTTGTGGACTACGCCAGGAACCTGGAAGCCTTTGAGTTTGCTCTCTGCGCTTCCGAGGATGCTGTCACCGTGGAGGTCCCCCTGCGGATCGATGGGGATGCCCTGCGGGTGCTGGCATGCCAGCCTGGGGACACCCCAGCTGGGCACTGTCCAGGGCTGGGCAGCTGCTATCTGGAAGTGCCCTCTCCGGGGACCGACTTGGAGGACTGGACCAGCACGGTGGGTGCGATGGAGCGGGGAGGTGGTGCGGGGTGCCTGGTTCCGGGCAAAGTCCTCCAGCACCTGAAAGAGCTCCTTGTTTCTGCCATCGTGTGCTGCCAACGCCGCTTCCTGCTTCAGCCAGGTGCGTACACGGGCAGGGCGCTTCCCCGGCCAGGAGCTGCCTCCAGCACAGCTGGGGGTCCCGGCTGGGTGGTGGTCCCTGCACAAACGGGCCGGGGCATAAGTTCCCGGGCATGTGGCCCACTCAAAGCCTGCATGAGCAAGTGAGCGCCCTGCCAAGCGCTGGAACAGGCTTTGCCCTCAGCTAAGGAATGGGAGATGCAAACTACTCCCTGCCATTCCACGACAGCAGAGTCATCCCTGAGCATCTTCCACCTGGGCTGATGGCACCCTCCTTTGTGGGTGGCTCCACGCTGGGCTTACCCTGCCGTTAGTCCCCAGGGATGGTTTGCTGAGGCATTTGGCATGCTTGGCTGTCTCTAGCCATGTTCCCCCTGTCTCTCCTGGCCTCAGAGTGCCCCCTCCTCCCTGGATGAGGCTGTTTGGAGGGTGAGCTGGAGGCATGTCAGGGCTGGACCTTGGGGCATGGGTCTGGCCCTGCACACACGGGCCCCAGCTGGGAGCAGCATCCCTGGGAACGACACAGTGGGGAAGGGACCCTGGGAATGCCCGTAGGGGTCACATCAGCACTTCCATGCATTTCCATCTCCAAGGGTGCTTCTTGAAGTAAATCTCATCCCTGGTGAAAGGTGATGTGAGAGGACCAGCAGGTCTGAAAGCTGGGTTCTGAAAGAACCCAGCCTGAGCAAGCCCACCAGCATCCCTCCTTCCTCCACAGCCAAGCCAGAGCCCTTTGTCCTCCTCTGCCCCCACAACCTGAGACCTTTTCTGGTCCATTTTTCTCAGAGCGCGTTGTTTTTCTTGGCACTGCTCAGCCACGCAGCAGCACGGCCCCATTTGGCTGCTCGGGGCTTTCTGCCGTGCCCACACCCGCTGGGCTGGCCCTGAGTCCCGCTGGAGCGATGCTCCTTCCCGAAAACCACCGTCAGGGTTTGGAGAACAGCTTTTGCTGGGGAACCACAGACAAACCGCAGTATTGGAAAGGGATGAGTTGAGCGGGGTGGGACGTGCCCACAGGCATTGCGGCACATACCCGGTTCAGCCTGCGGGACCGGCTGCATTAACCTCCTAACTGCAGCCAAACCCTCCTCATCCAGGTGATCTCAGTGCCGAAAATCTGAAGGAAGATGCCATGGAGCTCTCCCTGCTGATCCGCGGCGGCTGGAAGACCATCCGCTTTGACATTGTCCCCGTGGTGAGGAGGTGGCAGGAGCCGCTCCGGCTCAAGGGGCGGCAGAGTGACAGGGGCTTCCCCAAAGGCAGCCTCTGGAAGGCCACAGAAGAGGCCCACTTCATCCCTGCCTCTCCCCATTGCTGGAGGTGAGTGGCTCAGCCGCACGCATAGTGGGGTGAGCCTGCCCCGGGGATCCCCCCTGGCCGGCAGCACTGCCAGGTATTGGGAAAAAGATGATGGAAAAGTGGAGGGACATGTCAGCAGGGGGGTGAAGCACCCCCTCCTGATGCCCAAACACACTGCCCTGTGTTGGGGGAAAAACCTCAACCAAATTACAGACAGCTCAAGGAAAAGGGGGGGATGCAGCTGAAGAGGCCCCCCAGATTGTTTGCAGGAGCTGAACCCTGCCCATGCCGGGGGCAGCAGCTCTCGAATCCCTGCTCGGGCTTTGGGAGCAAGCCTGGGCATCTGGCAGCAGCAGGGTGACAAGGTGCCCCCCAGGGCGGGCTGCAGCAGGGAGCAG